ACAAGCCCTGTTGCTTGTGTCTCAATGAGTCTGCTCCCTCATGGTCTGAGGCCTTCTCTTCACTTTTCTGACTTAACTGAAGTCCTCCTAAAGTCTTTATCTACAATACTCTTTAAACCTAGGACTCCTCCTCCTTCTCTTCACTAACCCTTAAAGAACTCAAGAGAAAAAAAGATATGCTAGAATCTTATATGAAATGAGTATAGCAATATTTCTGATAGATGTAGATGACAGATTATATTATAGATTTCCTGCTGACATTTATTGGTGGTTTTTCTAAAACATACACTTGTCATGTCACCCCTCTGTTCAAAGCCTTTGATGTAGCCCTTCTGTCAGCTAAATAAAGTTTAAACTCCTTACTCTGACATTCAAGGCATCTGGGAGCCAAATAAGCCTAAAGGTAACTGACAGGTGATAGTAAACAATCCTTATTGACCACATAAAACTGCTGATCAAGTGACTGAAAGAGTAGCCCATGTCCTCTAAGTGGAATGCAGGAGGGTTCAAGGAACTGGAAGTTTCAACAAATCCAAGCAACAGGAGAAGAGGGAGAAAAGGGAAGAAACATCAGATACTAAAGCTGAGACTCAAAAGCTACAATTCCGGGAGACAATGAGGCCCAGGAAGTAGCTATGGGACGGGGCTTCAGGCGAGGTGGAATGGTTGAAGGACCCAAGGAAGGAATTTTAGGTTGGGGTTTTCACTTCCCTCATGGATCCTGAAGTTGGCCAGGTGGTGGAAGGACTTGAATGTGAGTAAGCCAGGAGTCAAGGTGTCTGATGGGTGTACAGTGACAGGCATAGTTACCTCCATGTGATTAGAATGGCACTTCACCTCTGTGGTCTTCCTCCCCAAAACCCATATCCTCAGTCTAATCATGAGAAAAACATCAAATAAGTTCCAGTTGAGGGACATTCTATAAAATAACTAACAGTACTCCTCAAAACTATTAAAGTCATCAAAACAAAACAAGTTTGAGAAACTGTCACAGCCAAGAGGAGCCTAAGGGGACACAGGTCTAAATGTCAAGTGGTGTCCTGGATGAGATCCTGGCACAGAAAAAGGATATTAGATAAAAACTAAGGAAATCTGAAAGAAGTATAGAATTCAGTTAATAATAATGTATCAATACTGGTTCATAACTGTAACAAATGTACCACACTAATGTTAAGATGTTAATAATAGGGGGAACTGGGTGCAGAGGCTGTGGGAATTCTTTGTAGTATCCTTGCAATTTTTCTACTGTAAAACTGTTCTAAAAAATAAAGTTTATTTAAAAAAAGACATTATATAAAAGGGAACAGCTTCTCATCAGGAAAAAAAGAGGCTAGAAAAAACAACACTTTAAAAGTACTGAAAAGAAAATACTAGAATTCTCTATCTACTATGTCCTTGAAAAATGATGGCCAAAAAAAAAGGACATTTTCAGATATATGATAAGAAAATTCATCACCAACAGATCTTCACTGCAAGAAATGATAAATAAATTATCTGGGTTGAAAGGCAAATGACAGATGGAACTCAGAACTGCAGAAAGGAATAAAGAACTCCAGAAATGTTAATATGTGGGTAAATATAAAAGCCTATCCTATTCCCCTCACCAATCAGGGACGCCTTTTCATTCCTCCTCTAAAGGTTCCTTAGGCTTAGAGTCTGACAGGGCGTCTCAACAGAGGCAGAAACGCCCTCCTAGAGAGTGTCTATCTGGAATCTATGCAAAGGGTTTTATACTGAAACAAACATGGAGGGAAGCAACTGGTAGCAGGCATGGGCCTGGGAGGCTAACCATTCTGTAATGCAAACTGCCTGCAGAGCAAAGAATTATCCTGCCCCAAATACCCCTTTATCAGGTTTATCTTTAAGAAAAACTGAAATTGTAGAGCACAATAAGGCATCAACAAGGGGTAAGGGCACCCCACCAGACCTCTAACATATGCGGCCAGGCTGCATTGCCCTCCTTAGCACCAGTGCCGGTGGGACTAATGCTGAGCTTGCAGCATTAAGTCCACGGTCATCAGCATACGAACAGCCATCAAGTAAAAACTGTCTTCCAGCCTGTAACCTATGGGATTGATTTCTAAACCAGTGTTCTGAGCCCATACAGAACCCTTTCTATTATTTCAGCTCCCTCCTCTTCTGCTGCCGGAAAGGAAAGGATAAGCGTGAGAAAGATAAAAGGACAAATCAAGGGATGAGTTCCAACAGCCTACTCAGGACTGCACAGAGCCTGCAATATCTAAGCCAGACAGGAAGGCTCAGAGAAAAATCAGCTCCAGTATCTGACAGAGGGAGGGGCTCTCTATGTCCACCTAAGATTTAGAAAAATAAGAGAAAAATTCAGAGCTTATGCAAAAGTTTTAAAACAGAATCATCAGCAGCTATTTTTCAAAAGCTATTTTTACTTTTAAAAAGCAATTACCTAAGTGATTCAGTTTTAGAGTTTTTTGGATAATTATGAATTTTAAAAAAATGTATGGATCACATAGAAAATATAGAAGTATTTGCAAACTAAGGCAAAAAGCATACATACAATTTAAACTCATTGCCATAGCAGTACATTCAAACTTCAGGCTCCACCTTTTCTGAGGTAATTAAATCCACATTCAGTTAGAACCTAAAAACCTTAGAGAGTAAAACAATAGTATGACTATCATGCTACTCATTTTTTTGATGGGCTTTTAGAATAAAGGTAATAATAGATTTATATTAAGTGGCCCAAATTACTGATACTTAGAGGTGTTTTGCAAAGTGTTTATGATTTATCTTGTTTCCATAAAGTGAGTTTTTTAAATTCATGTTGTGAATATTCAACATTTTCTAGTCACTGCCAGATAATACATTTAAGAAAATAAGGTGAAAAAAGATGAAGAGCCATTCGACTAATTCTGTTCAACCAGCCAAAGAAACAATAAAAAGCATTTGATATTGCTGATTGATAAAAAGGTAGAAAAGCAACATTATTATTTGGTTACGTTTATCTAAATCACCTCATTTTTCTTTAAAAAATGAAAACACAAAACTATAAAAGATTTTCAATCTGACAATAATTTGACATAATTTAAGACTGTTAAATAACAACAGTGAAGTCTATATAAATTTTTTTAAATTGGGAAAATAAATCCTTAACTTTCAGACAAATGCGCACTATTTTAAACATCAAAGGGCCCATAACTTCCCCTTGACACTACCACATATCCGCTAACTCATTCTGCTTAACAAATAAAACCACGAATTGAGCCGTCTTTCCTGTCGATGATGTCACGAACACTGCATTGGGAAAAGTGTCCTTCAGTCACCAAATGAAGGGCACTGATTAGAACAAACATGAGCAACCTCTTGAAACATCACTGACAAGGGAAAAAACCAAAATACTTATACTTAACAGTATAGAATTTGAAAATTAGTTATAACATATATTCCTAAACTGAAAGAAAGCTTAACAAAACTACATGTCTTTATGAAATCATTTCAGTGCAGGACACACTGATTTTGTCCCAGACATTCTGCTGAGCACTGCAGAGAACAGGAAGATAAGACACAAACTTTAAAGAAACTTGCAAGACTTTCCCTACTGCTAGTCCAGTATAAGGGCAACATAAAAAGGAAAGGCTAATACTGTCCAAGAGGTACAAAAAAAGGTCCTCTGAGGCCTGCTGGGGCCTTGGATGGTAAACACACCGAGGGCATGATCCCGGGGTCTTTTTTTTGCAACTCTTACCAGTTCATATTAGAATGCATAGCACAAAGGTTTCTTTACTCAAATGAAGGGGAGAAAGAATTGACATGTGAGCAAGGGAGGGCTAAACGGGGATCTCTGGGTCCACTCCTCAAGGGTTGTGGCTCTGATGCAAGATTCCTTAACCCTCACGTGGACAGTGCTGTCCTATAGGAGAGAAGGGTGAGAGCAGCTGTGACACATTAATGAGCTAGCAAAGCAAGTGATTCTCAGCACATAAAGATTTTCTGTTGTTGTCCTCCAAAACAGAGATTCATGGCCTGCCACAGAATTCGATTTAGAGTCACAAGAGGCCTTCCCACTCAGGAGGCAATTTGACCTATGTCTCAGAGGAAGCTGGTGGGAAATCTGGGATTAAAACCTTTGTTTCCTGTCTTTACTTCCTTGTTTCTTAAAGCAAGATCTGGGGACCAGAGGGGCATCAGCATCATCTGGAAACTTACGAAAAATACAGAACCTCATGCTGTACCCCAGACCTAGTGAACCAGAATTTGCATTTTAATGAGATTCCCAGGTGATCAATATGCACATTAAACATTAAAGTTTGAAAAGGAGAGTATGTATCTAGAACTAGAATGTATGAGTTCTTTAATAATATCAGATAGTGCGAAATTTCAAAGTACTATACTAATTTACTTTCCCACATTGTTCTAATTTTCTATGTATCTAATTATAACATAAAGCCATTTCCTATTGCTAAAATTGCTCTAAAAATAAAGTCTATTAAAAAACAAAAAAAGCTCATTATCATAGTGCCTGGCAATAAATTGCAACTACTGTTATTAAAAGTTACATTAGAAATACCCTAAATGTTTCTGCAAGAAATTAATAATATTGTTCCTACTGTAAAGTAATTATGCTAATAACTAAGTCAGTTTCAACACTGATTCTAAGATAAAAGTATCTTGTCAAACAAGTAATCCCTGAGAATGAATCCATGAGATACCTAGACAAATGATTTCAAATCTAATACATTATTTTTCAAAGCCGTCAAGTGAAATGGAGAAATGTAAAATGACTAGGGATTCAATCACAGTCAGTTTCTTAGTAAGTACAAGTTTTATAGATTCTTATGGTCATTATTTAAGAAAAAAATTTCAACTAAGGGGAAAAGGCACACAAATGGTAATGCCAAAAATAAATATAATCACAGAATTATGCTGAAAACGGCATGGTTTCGGCAGAGGTGGAATGCCTACCACCTATAAGGCAATGATTTCTAGGAGGAAAAATAAATCTATCACCTCCTTTGTTTGTTTACCTGGATGAGTCATGGTGACTGGTTCCTCTTTGGACTTATTATTGTAGATGACTACAGCAACTGCATTGTGGAAAGCAGCCCGTGATATTTTCTCTTTAAATGTGCAATTTCCCCTCTGCAGCAAAGCAATCCACTGTTTGATATTAGGAGGGACAAAGAACCGGGTTTGAGGATCACAGCCCAGATGATCAGCAACTAAAGAGAAAAGGGAAAAAAATACATTAATTTTTTTGTCAAGTAAAGATAAATAAGATCAATCAAATCTTTCACTAAAGCACGTCCAGCAGCTCATTGTCAGCAGAGCTATGGATACGTCCACAGAGGACACTACACTGACTCTAAATCCTTATCTGTACAGGGAGAAAGACGCTCCTGTAACGCAAATTAAAAGCAAAACATTCTGTTTATAGATCAACAAAAATAAAGAAGACTGTAACATCCAGTGTAGGGTGGTGAACAGAGGATGAAGAAAAGGCAAACACAGAAAACCCCAGAAACCAGGAGACTCATCTACCCCGACTTTGCTCACTTATTTGTATTTACTCCTCTCTCCACACCCAACCTCCCACCACCTTCATGAGGAGACTGATTTTGCTTGGGGTAAGGAGCCAGACTAACCTTTTGTTCAGTTATCAAGTGGTCTTGCTGAAATTCAAGCATGCCTGAACAAATTTCTAAGTAAATGTCTAAGGAAATTAGAAAAGTTCCCTTTGGCCTATATTCGAAAGTTATAATAGCTAAAAATAACAATCAGAATAAACAGATCATTCCTCTAATTTACATTTATTGTTAAAAATTACAATTCCACATTAGGATACATATTAACTTACTACATCCGCCTGTCTGATGAGATACAAATTACACGGCATTGGCCTAGATTTAGGGGAAAAGCTTGTTTCAAATGCCCTGAAGGGCATCTGAATTGGTTAGGGCAAGCTCCTTAATTTTTGCTTCTACAAACATGATCATCATAGCTCTGATACCCTCTGTAAATCTTAAGATCCCGCTCCTGGCTGTTCTTCCCATTCCTCACCCTCACACTTATAACAGGTTAGAATGAAAGGGGGAAACAAGTCATCAAAGGGAAGTCTGAAGACTGCGGTTCCCCAGTGCCAGAGGACAGTGGGCCCTATGCCTCCTCGTGTGGGTCAGTGCCAGCACTATGCAGGCCAGGGAGGGAAGGGAACACAGCACAAAAGGGTAACACAGGAAGAAAGAAATAATAAAAACATTAAGTTTTAATCAATAACAAAGTGTAAAAAAAGACACCACCAGTGGGGAAATGTTTGCTTTCCCTGAAAGCACACTGTTTAGTAAAAGAAATGAAATGTTTACATTACCTAAAGAAACTGTAAAATGTAGAGATGCCGCTACTACAAAGAAATGTTACATTTATCATTTCCACTTAAATACCTTTCCCCCCAATTCTCTATCATGATGAGGGACAGCAATGAGAACATATTTGCTATCAGAGGTCTCCTAACACACAGTAAGTGGGAGATAAATGATTCCCTAATTTGTCATGACTGATACTGTCTACAACTATGACTCACCCTTTCCCTTAAACGGTTTCGTCCTTTCTCAATCAAATTAAACTTAGTAGTCAACTATTGAAAGACAGAGTCAAGGCACTGTGAAACTCTGAAAATGTGAAACACTGTTTACTTTCAGCAATATCTGTCTGTTTTACTGATTATTATGCTGTTTTAAAATATAAGCATTTAGGTGATGTGTTACGATACCCTCATTGTCTTGGGAAAACTTCCAATACTGTGTCCAAGTAGGTGCAAAGAACTTGTTTTAAGTGTTTCATTTGGGATTTTTCAAAATACGCTGCTGCACAAACCCTGAAGAAAATGCAGAATCAAGAATATCTAAAGAGCCCTGGCCTGTGTGGCTCAGTTGGTTGAGTGTAGTCCTGTGCACCAAAAGGTTGCCAGTTCAGTTCCCAGTCAGGGCACATACCCAGGTTGTGGGTTCGATCCCTGGTTTGGGTGCATGAGGGAGGCAACTGATCGATATTTCACTTTCACATTGATTGTTTCTCTCTCTCTCTCTCAAAAAATCAATAGAAACATTAAAAATAAAAGAATATAGAAAGAGATCTGTACACTTGTCTTCTGCAAAACATTTGTTTTTCTGTGACCTTCCTGACCTTCCTGTGATTTCCTATGTGTTCAACAGTGTGCTAAAGAGGAAACAACACAGTTAAGAGGCCAGCAAGAAGGCCTGGGGGTTCCAAATTCTCTAATCTTCCATTTTTACTTATTTATAAAGATTGAGATAAAATTCTTACCCTCACAAGAGTTATGTGTATGTGAAAAAGTCTATAATAAATCCTCTACTCTTGGGTGCCTCTTATTCTTCTCCTGTCATTTTACAGGTGCCATCCTACCTTTTCCTAGTGACCCAGCCTGGAGCCATGGGAACTCTACACTGATGTTCATGAAATCCACCTGGAGCTAGGCAGCACATTCTCTGTGTCCCTTGCTCCCAACAGCTCCCTAGTCTCATCCTTTCTGCCTGTTGCCCTGACAATGTCACTGTCCACTTAGAACAGCCATTCACTAATAGCCACAATGTCTAAAACTGAAAGACATAGCAAGGGGTGCAACCACAGAATACAATCTATCTCTCAAAGGAATCCCCACCCACCAAGAACAGATCCTATGGCCAATCCAAACAAATTCCAACAACAGACTGTATAAGCAAAAAGAATGTCCCTGTTCCCCCATTTGTAAAAGGTCTCTGAAAACATCCGTATCAGTGAGAACAGAATATGCAATGATAAGCAACAATAAGATATCCAAGTTCCTGTTCAAAGAAGCAGTTTTCATTATTCAGAAAAACAAAGTAAGGGGTTTTCATAACCACTTAATATTGTAGTATGCTTATTTTATCTATCTATTCTTTCCTGGAATTAAAAAAGAACTTGAACAATAAAAATGTTAACAGCTAAAACCCCACAACTTCCCAAGAGGAATGATGAATGCTGTGATCCCGTGGCACTACTTCAAGATTTATACCAGTTATTTGTACTTGAAGCAATTTATTAAGTGAAGACATAAAACATCTATAATTATGAACCATAAAATTTATCAACAGCAATTTTGCTCAAATTCAAAATCATTTACTTGTTTCTTTTTACCTGCCAAGTTCAGAAGAGAACATCACCTCTGACTTCTTTGCATTTATTAGTCACAGTGCCAGAAAAAACTTATTAGAAGTTACCATGAAAATGTGAAATTATATATAATATAAAATATTGTACTATAATACCTTAATTATACCTTAATAAAGCTGAAAATATTGTATTACAGAAAAACTTCAATTTTTTTTCTGTATGGCCTTTCCTATTGAGTCCAGAAACAGTATTGAGACTTTTATTTACTCCTTGATTCGAACAGGAACAATGATAGAATCCTCACCTTAAGGGACATTAACTTAGATGTTCAGCAACATACTAAGTACCACAGAGAAATAGGATGGAACCAAACATTTTGGTATTGAATCTTGAAGAACCTCTAAATGTATTGAGGAGGCATGCCTGGCATAGAAGTGAAATATCAACAAGGCAGCATAAAGCACCAATTGGGAGAGTGCTTAAACATTTAGGAAAGGAAAAGAGCAATGTGATGGTCAAGGAACCTGCATGGAACGCTGGAAAACTGCTCAAGCAGAAAAGAGAGTGTACAGAAGTGGGCGGCACAAGAACACAGAAGACTAATCCCTTCTCTTAAACTCCTACGAAAATCAAATAAGCAGCTATACAGCCAAAGCTACAACACTATACAAATTTAAGATAGTCAAGTGAAGAACCCCAACTGCAATGGGAAAAGAGGAAGACTATTTTGGTACAAAGACTATGTAAATATTTAAAGGGTTTTGTGAGTAAATAAGAAAAAAAAATCTTTTAAAAATGCAAACACCCTACCTAATAAGTAGCAGTCACCACACTATTGTGTGGGTGGTGTTTCCTTCCATGCCCTGAGAACCATCAGTTGCTGCTGTAAGAGTCACAGCGGCTGGAGTGCAGGTGCCCCAATGCGTCTCTCGCTCTGACAGCCCGTGTCTCATTTTCTCTTCCTGAAATGCCAATCCCACTCCTTTGCTGACTACCTCCTAAGCTTCAGGATTCTGCTAACGTATCTTCTCCAAACACCTTTCTGACCTCCTTAGGCTGAGCTGGGTGCTGTGTTCATGTCTCCAAGGCACCCTGGGATCACAGCCATTTTACCATTCATTGTACTGTATTAGTAACTGGCTGTTAATTCTGAGTGTCTCCTAGGGGTGAGAACTAGCACCTTCTCTAATATGTCTGGCACATAGTAGACACTTAATGTACCTGATGAAGAGAGAGAGGGAAGGATGACAAAGGGAGACTAAGCAAGAACGAATATAAAGAAAAACCTTGTGCCCAAGACCTGTTTCATGTGGAAATGTTCTGACTTGGGCAATGTTCTATAAGCTGTTTCCTACAAAAGAAGTAAAAATAAAAATAAGCCTAATTAGTTACCCTGGATTTAGATATTTTCATTGTCATGTATGTTCTGGTTATTTGCTTTCCTATTTCTACAGATTACAATCTTTTTAATCTTTAGGTTTCCTGCTTCTACCTTTTTTCCCTTATCTTTTCTTTGTTAAATTCTTATTTTATAATTGAAAGGAAAAAACAGAATTCTTTATTTTTGTTTCTAATTCCTTCCTTCCTTCCTTCCTTCCTTCCTTCCTTCCTTCCTTCCTTCCTTCCT